CTGCCTTTTGTGAGCAGGTTTCTCTTTTCCTTTGACGGCGTCCGCTGTGCACGCCCCTGTGATAAACGCAACAGCGAACACAAACTCCTTCCTTCCCATCTCGCTCGCCACATCCCCAGGGCAATGCAAAACCCTGTTTGAAATCGAGTTACTCCTGTTCCTAGAGAACTCTTGTTGCTTGGACAGAGGAAAAAATCGCGTCCTGGAGTCTTTGTTTTCACTTGGAATTCTTAACCATAGCCTGACTGTTAGAGCACAGATTTCTCTGTGAAGTTAATGGATTTCTTACTGGGAAGCTTAACATGTGATGCCAGTGCCTGCCAAGTAGTGAAGGGATGATGTTACAAATCTGCTGAGCCGGGGCTTCCTCCTGCTCACTGCCTACCCCCCCGAAGCCAACTAGCAACTCACACGTGCACCTCTGGCTGGGGGGGAGTACAACCACCCTGCTGCCTCCCCTTGCTGGCGCCCTGGACGCATGGACCCTATGGCTGTGGCCCCCAGTCCAGCTGCTGGCACTGAACCCCTCCCCACCCCACTTGCTGACACCGCAGACACGCGGGGGCCTCTGCCACCCGTGACCTGACTTGGGTTGCTGACGCTTAACTCGCTCAGCCCGTGACCTCTGGTCCCAGCAGTTGCTGGCAGTGGGACCCTCAGACGATCTGATCACCGTAACGTAGCAGATGCTCTCGCGTGACACGTACCCTTACCCAGGTAACAGATACGGCCACAGCTCTTCATTCAGGAACCAGACATACTGGCTTTTTCTCTCTTAAAAGAGCCTTTGCACAGACATACTGGTTGAACCACCATGCCCAGCCATCAGCCCCTAACATTTGCAGCTCTTGAGTTTTCTACAAGGCTGTCTGGATACTTAATGCCTTTGTGTCTTAAGTGAAAGGATTCATTGCATCCTATCTTATGATGGAATCTACCTAGACAGCAATAAGGGTGATGCACATAAAGGTAGGTTGAAGAAATGCTGGAGAAGAAACAGACTTGTGATGAAACAGTAGGGATCTGATGCATAACTGCACAAATTCAGTGTATGCAATGGTTTGGGATGAAGAGGAGTTTGGATCCCTGTAACCTGCCTTATTTTTACAGTGGGATGAGCCTCCATTAAGTTTGTGAGGGGTTTTCCAATACGTTTTACCTTCTAGTTACTTCTTGTCTCTACAGAGTACTTTGAAGCACGCTGGAAACGTGTAATGATCAACAGGTAGCAAACTCACTTTGCTCCAGTATTAATAAATCTTAGTTTTCTATGTACATTGATTTCTTTATTGCTCATTGTAATTTGAAAATTGTCCTTTGTGCTCTCTTAATGTGGGGGCATGTTGGCTGAAGCGTGCGGGTGCTACCTATTCCAGCTGCCGTAAGAAGTCAGACCCTTCCACATCTGTTACCCCAAAGCAGATCATGGCTCAGTGACCCGGTAGCCGCAGTGGCCTGGCTGCTAGCAGCTGTCAGGAGCAGAAGATTCAACATTTCCCGCACCAGTTCAGTCCTGCAAAGAGCTGATTTGCTTCCGTGTGCCTCTGAACGCAGACCAACAAATTCCCCACGCCCGAGCCAGCTCCGTGCAGGGGCAGCTGGAGTTGTCTCTGCAGGGGATCTGCCTGCCTACCTGGTGTACCCACACTTAGAGGGGGTGAGGTCTAGTTTTAAGGTACCCCCATCCCACGCTGCCCCACAGAGGAGAGGCGCAGCAGCTATGGCTACATCGCTGCAAGTTAGGGTTAGCTGGAGGAGAGAAGGATTTTCCTGGGCTGGCAGGGGCAGGATACAAGCAGGGTGTGAGTGCTGTTAGTGGAACAAGAGAGGGCATCAGATGCTTCTGCCCCAGAACCAAAGTGGCCCTGAGGCTTTTTCACTTGTGACGTTCCCGGGCTACATGGGATATTTCTGAACAGGGGAAAGAACAAAAGAAGGAGGGGGGCGAGGGGAAAAGTCATATCTGATAGGAAAGCTTGTCATTTGCTGGGATTATCTGGGTAACAGCTTCTTTTTTGTCTTTGATGTGTTTTCATATTTAGAAGGAGAAAAAAGACCAGAACCAAGGCCATGGTAAAGGCAAGTCGCAGTGAGAAGCTTGTAAGAGAACTGAAGGTGGACAATAAGAAAGCGTTGTCCAGGATGGCTGGGCTTGGGAGCACAGGGCGACCAACAGCCGATGAAACACGTACGTATTTTGGCATAAATATAGCTACAAATAAAAAGTGGATTTTGACTGCCCCAAACATTGCCAGCAGGCATTTTTGGTGACCTGTAACACTGAAGACGTATGGTGGGAATGCAGCTGAGGTAGGACCTGGTAGCCTTGTAGGCGGATATAGTTTTAGAGAAATCATGGTGGCAAGCCTTTGCTGGGGTGGTATTGCTGTACTTGTGTGGTGGAGAGAATACTGAAATTGGTAGGGGAGAGTCAGGCAAAACCTGGGCCTGTGGCATGTGTTGCAAATGAAATTGCAGATCAGTTTGTCAGGTTGCTGTTTGTGAAAGTCTGTTTTGGAATCAGATATTTGGAGGCCATCTGGACATGGTCCTGGGCAGCCTGCTCCAGGTGAGCCTGCCTGAGCAGGGGCAGGGATGGACCAGATGACCTCCAGTGGTTCTGGAAGGCCTTTCTCTTTGTTGTGATGCTGTGATTCTGGAATTTGTGCTGGGAGGGGCAAGCGGTGCGATGGCATACGGGTGGGGCGTGCTGGAAATGTCTGGTTAACTACTGTCTCCTGCTAGTCGGAAGGCTGCACACGTGTGTCTTCCATACCGAGACACCGAGTGCCTAGGTCAGTCTGTCCAGCTACACCAAGCAATGTAAAACCGAGCCTGATTTCAGAATTGGCTTGAGGAACTTTTGCGAGCTTCGCCACGTTAGGCAGGGAGCGCAACTCTTGAATGAGCATCTGGTGGTGTTAGAGAATAACCGTAGGAGGCAGACGGGTAAACTGGCTCTAGTGTGATTTTTCTGCAGGGCTCCATCACGCGTAGTGGTTACT